AAAAATATAAATTGCATGCATTCAGTATTTATTTTAGAGAAATATATAAAGCCATAGCCCAAGCAAATTGTTGAATTACACTCTTGTTTGAACTTCGGCGAAATAATAGTCATTTAACTAGTTTGAATCTTTTGTGACTTGTGTGTCTCATGAAATTTTACATAACATGTAATAAAGGACAGTTTAGTAAGTGATCAGTTCATTGTCAAACTGTTCTTTTGTTGGTGGCATGTTTTTGCAAAAGATAAAGCAGTGTAATGTCCAGATACCATAACATGCTAAAGTGGTGACTATGAACCAAAACTTTTGTAAGTTTTAAAAGGAAACTGTTGTTTTATTAAAATTATTTTTAAATGGAAGTATTGCTTTATTTAGCCTTGAAATGATTTTTAAAATATTGTTTGAAGAATAGTAGTGCTAGCTTTCCAAATTTTGGTAGTAGTGGTTCTGTTTGTTTTTTAAATTAAGAATTTAAAAATTTTCTGGGGTAGAAATGACATTTTTTGATATCTTAGGGAATTGTTAAGAATTATCTGGAGTTGAAATGTTTTTTTTTTTAAATTTTTTATACATACAGATAGAAATTGTCATTTGAGAATACCTGATTTAAAAACCTTAATTATTTATATTATTTTGAATGTAAGCATACGGTCCAGATTTGTATATCGTTATTCTGATCACATTGTGATATGCTTTTCACAGGTTTCTTTTTAAATTGAAAAGTAATGCATGTACCTGAATAACAATATTTTAGGTAATAGTAAACATTAAACAATGCATAGTAAGCTCCCCTCCCACGTAAGAGCCAGCATAGTCTCTTATTCAGGGGCAGCAACTTCAGCAGTTTCGTGGTACAATCTGATAACTAAAACATATTTCTTGTCAGAATAGCGTTGTCTTTAAACATTTGTTCTGTATAAACATTTATAATGCTGTTCCATTTAAACATTTATTATTCTGTTTTTGTTGTCTTTATGTTTAACTTTTTATTTAAATGCTTTTGGGAATAATTAAATTTTTAGCAGAGTGGGTTATGATTTGTAGTTATAGGATTGTAATTCTCTTATAAAAACTATAATACAGTGCATGTGCATTTTTATTATGGTATGTAATAGTGGTATTATTAGTGATATTGCCAGGCTGGCTGATGGAAGGTAGTGAAGTCTGCAGTGTGTAGATTAATTTTTCAGTGGAAGATAAGTGTAGCCTCTTTGCATGGAACATTACAAGTGTGCATTCTTGCTAGAAGGCAAACATCATGCCAGAGATAAAAAAAAGTCACACGGAGCTTTGTAATAATCATGGGAAAAGTGTTTTCTGATAGGTATTACATACTAACTCATAAATCTCCCATGCTCTTGGCCACATATAAGGAATTTTAATCTTAAAAATATTTTGGTTACCAACTTTTGAAGAAAATTGGCCATAGAGTTGGACACCAGGGACAGTGTACTGAAAAACAGACCATGATCAGGAGAGGCTAAACCAAGATTTTTAAAAATGAGATTTCAGGATTATTTTGAATCTGATGTTTAACATGAGCCATTGCAATGAATTTCATTTTATATCTGGAAAAAACCCTTTTTAAAACTCATATCCAGCCGGGCACAGTGGCTCACGCCTGTAATGTCAGCACTTTGGAAGGCTAAGGTGAGCAGATCGCGAGGTCAGGATTTCGAGACCAGCGTAACCAACATGGTGAAACCCTGTCTCTACTAAAAATACAAAAATTAGCCGGATGTGGTGGCAGGTCCCTGTAATCCCAGCTACTTGGGAGGCTGAGACAGGAGAATGGCTTGAATCGGGAGATGGAGGTTGTGGTGAGCTGAGATCCCACCACTGCCCTCCAGCCTGGGCAAGAAGAGCGAAACTCCGTCTCAAAACAACAACAACAACAAAAACTCATATCCATTTTCCCTAAATGTAAATAATTGATATCCAGAGTATTAATAGAGAATATGCTTTTTATAATTTATAAAAAGGTAGAGGAGAGAATTATACACAAGACTTTTGGTTTAGGTTTAATAGTTTCCTTTTGTAAGATTTCTCTCTGTATTTTCTTACTGATATTTTTGTAAGATTTATTGAATCTTTAGGTTATCATCTCCCTCTTACCAAAAGACTCTGTTGCCCTGCTTGCTGTATTATACCTAGAAGGCACAATTAGAATATGGGAGACTCTCCTCATTTACTTGGAATAGACTTTTTCATATTTCCAGAAGTAGCAAAATTTCTATTACCCGCTTTGCTTCTGCCGCTCGTATTCTTCCTCCCTACTTGAAGTGTCTGCAGCTCTTGAAGGGAGGTTTGGGCTTCCATTCTCTTGCAGTTATAGCACCTGAAGTGTTTGCCTTCTTACTCTGAGGGATCACACATCTGCTAGCTACTAAGATGGTAAATTGTCAGTTTGAGACCATTTTATTGTGGTTATATGAACCCATTGATCTGTCTCATATCCTAATTTTAAAATAAAATCATAACACCTTTTATAAGCACATGAAATTACAAAATCGTTATTTTCCTAGTTGAAAATGTTACATGCATACGTTTTGTTTGTTAGATTTGGCATATTGAAAATAAAGAGAAATAAAACTAGAAAATAATAAGTGAAATACATTTAACTTTTTATGAAGTACAAAGAATTGGCCAGGCGTGCTGGCTTGTGTCTATAGTCCTTGCACTTTGGAAGGCTGAGACAAGAGGATCACTTGAGCTCAGGAGTTCAAGACCTCCACGGGCAACATATACCCTGTCTCATTAAAAATACACACACACACACACAGAGACAGAATTGATTGCCTTACTCAGATCATTTATTTCACCTACTAAAACCTCTGCCATCTGTTATTGAAGAAAATTTCAAAGTTATACAGTAGTAGGGAGAATACCCAGCTTTAAACAGCCAGTCTTGTTTCATCTGTACTCTGCCATTCCCGGACTAGTCTGTAGCAAATCTTAGGTGTCAGATAAATCCGTATATTGTAGTATTGGGTGAAGAACACAGCATTGACCTTAGACCACCATCAGTGCCTCATGAGAAAATGAACTCACTCTATACTGATAACTCTTAGTGTTCCTGGGCTGGGTTTTTTTCCCTCTTTTTAAAATCACCCCTTTCTTTTGGCTTTTTTGGCCTTCCCTCTTTCCCTGTACCTCCACAAGGGGGCAGATAAAGGAAGTGAGAAGTTTAAATGAACCGGATTTGAGTTTCACTTTTGTTAATCAGTCAAGTAGAGTTGCAGAAGATTTTGGGGATGACTTTTCAGAAACAAGCAGTGACTTTTCTTCCTGAAACAACTCATAGTGCCCCTCCTTGCTCTTCAGAGATAGAATAGTATTAGCTATTTTAAAGGGGTTAAACAATAATCTTTAAAAACAAAACAAAAGATCCAGAGCATTATTACAGCCTTTAATTTTCTCTGTGAATGATAATTTTTCTGTAAAAATAATGATTTAGACTTTAATCAAAATATAGTATTTGAATTTCTACTTTTTTCAGAGGATGGCTCGGGGTGATTATCATTAAGATTTCTTATTGAGTGATGTGAATGTTGCATAGTCGAAGTATTTTAGCTGGGCATTTGGCTAGCGGTAGAAGGGTCATAACTACTGTCTTTATCCCCAGGCAGTTTTATCATTTCTTTTGTTTTTAGATTTTTTTTTTTTTTTTTTTTTTTGAGACGGAATCTCTGTCGCCCAGGCTGGAGGGCAGTGCCGCGATCTCGGCTCACTGCAGCCTCAGCCTCCGGAGTATCTGGGACTACAGGCACGTACCACCACGCCTATTTTTAGTAGAGACGGGGTTTCACTGTTTTGGCCAGGCTGGTCTCTAACCCCTAACCTCAGATGATCAACCCACCTGGGCTTCCCAGAGTGCTGAGATTACAGGGCTTGAGCCACCGCGCCCAGCCAAGTTTTCTCATTTCTTAAAAGCCTCCGTTGGCCAGGTATGGTGGCTCACGCCTATAATCCCAGCACTTTGGGAGGCTGAGGCGGATGGATCACCTGAGGTTGGGAATTCGAGACCAGCCTGACCAACGTGGAGAAACCCCATCTCAACCAAATACAAAACCAGCTGGGCCTGCTGGTGCATGCTTGTGGTCCCAGCTGCTTGCCAGGCTGAGGCAAGAGAATCACTTGAACCCGGGAGGTGGACGTTTCAGTGAGCCGAGGTCGTACCATTGCACTCCAGCCTGGGCAACAAGAGCGAAACTCGGAGATAAAGAAAAAAAGCCTCAGTTACTGTGGCAGTATCAATGAATCGTATGAATCGGATTCATAAAATTCTATAAATATTTGATGGTTACTTTATTTATGGTGAAACAGTATACTGTTTGAAGCCTGTTTGAAATTGAATGCCAGAACACTGTATAAATTGCCGTTTAGTCTGTGGGAATTCTGAATAAGCATCTATAAAGCTTTTTGTCAACAGAGTATTTCTTTGTCTTGATATTTAGAAACTGTGACCTGTGGGAGTTTTTTTTTCTTTAATATTATCTGTGTTTAATCTTTTTGTTCTTCTGTTTTCCCAGTGAATGTATTTCTTTTGGAAAAATGTTATTTTCCCAAGTAGACCATATGAGACTCATATTTTGAATATATGGTGTTAATTGTTGTAAGATATTGGAGGAAATGATGGGATCCACTTGCAGAAATTGATTGTTTTTGCATGAATTTTGGCAGCTGCTTTGCAATAAGTATATTTCCGTTTGTTGCCACCGTTAAATTCTCTGGTTCTCAAAGTTTCTGTATGCCTTACCACATGACACATAATTACAACGAAAGCGTTACCTTACATTCCTCTAGCATTCTTCCCCGCCAGCACCACACTTAATGCCCTTTATTCCTCAGCTTCATGCATGAATTATGTAGCATATGTGAAGAGGCTTAAACTGTTACCATTACAAATTCTTGCTAGATGGCTCCTGTTATATTTAGGATATACTTATACTTTAGACAAAGTAAGAATGTTATTGTTGTTGACCTTGACACCAAATAACTGGGCAGACATTATATAGCTATGTTTGAATCCTCGCAAAATGTGCTATTGAAGCCAACAGAGTCCTGGCGGGAGACTCTTCTGGACAGCAGAGTTATGGAACTTTTCTTCACAGTAAGTCTTAGTTGCCGTCTCTGGTAGCAAGGGCCATAGAAAAGAGGAAATACCTTGGCATGTTTCTTAAGTAAAACAGATAGATTGCTTTTCTCCCCTAAAGTCATGTCTTTTCATCAATGTAGCTGCTTAAACAGAAATTATTTTAAAAGGTTCTTGCTAATTTATAAAAATGTCACACAGTTTGGAAGGGCTTAATATCCTAGAGCAGAAGTTCTCAAACTTTTAATCTCAGGACCCCCTGTACTCTTAAAAATTATTGAGAACTCCAAAGAGCTTTTCTTTATGTAGGTTATATTTATCCTGTTAAAAATTCAAACAAAGCTTTACAAAATAATGTACCGAACAGTAACGATAAGAAACTATTAACATATTAACAGAAGTAACATTTTAATTAACAGTGTTTTAAAAAAACAAAGCAGGTTTGTTTTGCATTTTTGCAAATCTGTAATATCAGACTTAACAGAAGACAGGTTATCTTATGTGCTTCTGCCTTCAATTAATTGCAGTATTGCACATTGTGTGGTCTTGGGGAAATTCCACTTTTTACCTGTGTGACAGTGAGAATGGGAAATGCAGATACTGTTTTCATATTATTATGCCAATAGTTTTTTTCCTCATAGGCAATCTGACAGGCTTTTAAAAAGCTTCAGGGATCCCTGGGCCGCAGTTTGAGAACTGCTGTTCTAGAGTGTTGGTTTTATGTTATATTCATGAGTCATTGTTTAAGTTGGTATTAATGAATAGCATTTTATCTCATATGTAACTTTAGACAGTCCTCTTTATTATTGGTCAAATATCAAGATGTAAGCAGTCTGCTAACACATTCGTCAATGTGTATTCCCAATAGAACAATCAAAAGCTGGGAAAACAATTCATGTGTGTGTGTATGTGTTGGATGCTAATTTGCAGTTATAGAGTGAATATACGAGTTAGATACATTGACGTGGACAAAAGCCCAAGTAAAAGCCACTTAAAAAGAAAAAAGAAAGCTCTTTTGCTTAATCTCAGTTGTTAATTATAGTTTCTTTTCATTTGTTTTAAAAATATAGATGAGTCCTACAACTGCCTTTTTCCGATTGAACTATTTACAATAAAGTAGTTATGTGGCATATGTTTTAAAATAGCTAAAAGGTTATCTATCCAGGGGTATATAGAAAATATATTTTCTATGGAAACATTTGGACTGAGCATTAATCACCCTGCGGTTTCTTTTTAAAATCAGAGAAATGATGGCTAAAACCACTATCAAGATCAAAGAGATAATTGTAACTAAATTTTAAAATTCCGTTGCCTGCCTCATCTGACAGGAATTGTTTTGATACGAATCCAAGTCCAAGTCTTCGTATTATGCACTTGACTGAAAGTAGATTCCACTCCAGCAGTTTTTGAAAAGGTGAAAAACTTGCTGGCAGTACTGGAAACAGCTCTACCAAGTCTGAACAGCTGTCTAGACAAACCAGACAGCTGCTCCTGTCAGCTGTGAACAACCACACGCAAAGAACTTTTGAATTTGAAAGTTAACCCTTTTTTGCTTTATTTGAACAATTTTTGTGTTTGTAGCTATTTTACTTAAGCAGTTTATGAACAAGTTTGTTACTTGTTTTAAAAATGACAGTGACTAATGTTTTTATTTAATTTTGGTTAAATTTAGTTTTAGTTACATGAATTCATTGCCTAATTTAAAGCACTTTCCCACTGGATATCACTTGTGCTAGATTTGGATAAGCATCAATATACTGTTGCATAAGAGCAAGACTTTAAATATGTTGGTCATAAGACTTTAAATATGTGGAATACTTTGGGTTGCATTCTGCCCTGCAGAGGTTGACAAACTTCTTGATTTTTTTCCCTTCCCTAAGGTCTTGGGAAAAACAAAACACTTTCATTGTGTTTTCTTCCTACCTTTTTGATCAGAGGCTTCTTGATCTTGCTTATAGATCTCTTCCTTCTTTGCTCATCACATAAATGCTGGCATTCCTATCTTAATTCTCAACTTTGCTGACTCTGTATGCTTTCCTGTGGCTCTTGCTTCCACGCGTAGGACTTCAGGCACCGGTTCCTGGATGACTCTGACATCTATATTCAGCACAGCTAGCTCCAGAGTTTCTGAGCCTTATAATCCAAGTGCTTACTGGATGTTTTACTTTGGATGGCCCACAGACATCTCAGATTTAGCATGTTCCAGTAGAATTCGTCCTCTTCCTTACTTGCTTCTCCTTCCTTGTGTTCTTTTTCTTGGTGCGTAGCCTTGCCATTCACCTCGCTGGGCGTCCTGCTGGGCTTTGCCTTCCCTTATCCCTCTGTCTCTTTCCCATATTCAGGTGGTGATTTCAGCTTTCAGTTTTCTAATACAGTTTATATTGAAATACATGTTCAGACATAGAGGAACTCTTGTAGTGATGACATTGGAAAAAAGGCAAGAATCTGTATTGTATAAAAATTAAGCGTTTATCATTAGTTTTATGTGGTTTCTATTTCAGGGAACGTAAATTAAGCTTGAACAGTACACATAGTCTCCAAAGACAGTTATTTACTTATTTTAAATTTTATTTTTAGCTATTTCATTGACAGTATTCTATCTTTTGATTGCTCACTTCAAGACCATAACGAACATTCAAGATTGTGAGATGGATTCTTATTGTCCCAGATTGTATCTCTGGACATCGTGCTTAAATGCTGATTAGATTCTAAGGCATCCAGACAAAAATTTCATTACAGGTTTCAGATAAAGAACTTACGGGAGTGAGTTGTGTTCAGAAGTTTATGAACTGGACAGTGAGCATATATGAATTTATCTGTTCTTAGAATTAACTGTATAAAACTTAAAATACATTAGAATATAGTTTGAAAAATATTTGTATTCTAGACCAAGGACTTGCAGACATTTTTTTGTATAGGGCCAGATAGTAAACACTTTAGGCTTTGCAGGTCATATGTTCGTATTCAACACTCCCATTCTAGTACAGAAGCAGCCATACATGACACATAAATAAGCATGGTGGTGTTCTAGGAAAGCTTATTGATGGTCATTAAAATGTGACTTTTGTATAACTTTCATAGGTCACAAAATATTATTTTTGTTGGTTTTCCCTCAACCATACAAAAATGGGGGAAAAAAACATTCTAAGCTCACAGCCATACAAAAACAGGCAGGGGGTTAAATTTGGCTTATGGGCTGTGGTTTGTTCTAGTCCAAAAAGGGTATAGCGTATTTAAGCATGTCAGTGAATCAGTTAACTTTGTAAGTTTTAGAGATTATTTAGTATTTTAAATTTCATTACTAGAACCTTAAGAAGTTCAGGGATAGTCCGGGCACAGTGGCTCATGCCTGTAATCCCAGCACTTTGGGAGGCCGAGGCGGGTGGATCACCTGAGGTCGGGAGTTCAAGACCAGCCTTACCAATATGGAGAAAGCCCGTCTCTAAAGAAAAAAGAAAAAAAAGGAAATTCAGGGATTAAGGATTAATGGACTCAGTCAGTGAACAAGGATTTATTGAGTGTTCATTGTGCCCAGTATACTAGCAAATACTTAAATAGGTTCTGACCTCAAGTAATTTAGAAACAATTTGCCGAGTCAAAGTGAACATAATGTAAAGCTATGAGTTCAATGTTACACAACATTTACAAAGTAGAGAGAGAATTTTGTATAGGAAAGAAAAGGGCTGGAGTAGTTAAGTGCTTTGGCAAATACAAAATGGTACATACAACAGTAAGGATTAGGATTAATAATGATCATATTTCTACACTAAATTTTCCTTGGCTCTATTATGTCAGATTACAGAAGTGAAACCTTTAACATCTGAGAATATTAATACTATAAAACTAGGGAGCAGTATTTTGGGAGCATTTCCTTCGCACAGAACACCATACCAGGTGTTTCACATCCGTATTATATCACCAAAATAAAATCTAGGTGAGATTTAAATGGATTTAAGTATAATATATATTTTGTATTTAAAACTTTTAGCATTTATTACTAAGAATGATGTAGGTTAAACCGAGATTCAAACAAATTGTAGACGATCTGAGCATTAATAAAAGAATGCCTGTTATATTTTGGTTGAATGAATGTGTGAATGTCTATGGATTCAATGGCATATTGCTTTTCTAAGTGTGCAACTGTTTACTTCCACTAAAGCAGTATCTATATACTCTTGATTGAACTTGTCTGCTAACTTTAGCAAGAAGCTGTAGCTAGGCATAGTTAGCATAATACAGATGACTGTCGTTGTTGCTGTTTTTAGAAGAAGCAGTATGTCTGACTGGCTGGCATCTGTTTCTCTCTTTGTCATAACATGCTGGAGTTGGATCAATTTTCAAAATGTAGGTAGCCCTCAGTTAAAAATTAATTGGTATGTTTAAAATAATGCCTGTAATGTAAAGTGGACTGAGGGACAATTTTCAATTTAGTTTAATTCAGGAATTAGTTTTCTAGAAATAACCAGCTACAGTGAATTTTTCTCTTACCTCATTCGGCATTGTAGACACGTGACTCTTACAAAGGAAGAATTTATATTTATGGATTAGTAATTCTTTCTAACAGGTACATCGAAAAATCAGAGAAGATTCAGATATGGCACAAGATTCTCTGCAGTGCCTTGCCCAGTTAGCTTCTCTTCATGGACCCATCTTCCCTGATGAAGGATCACAAGTTGATTATCTAGCACACTTCATTGAGGGATTACTGAATACTATCAATGGGTAGGTATACTTGCCCTTTGCAGCTGAAGAAGGAACTCTACGTTTTGTGTTTAACAGTAGAAGAAAAAAAGAAATTAGTTATTTTTCCCCCTTATATTTTAAAGTAAAGTCATATGGGTAATTTGAAATTAATAAACAGAGACATGCCTTTTAAAATCAGTAACGGTAATGCTTGTTTGGAAATGAGTTATATTAATAATTTTTCTTTCACTACCACTTAATAATACTCATTCCTTGGTTTTAGAATTGAAATAGAAGATTCTGAAGCTGTGGGAATCTCCAGCATTATCAGCAACCTGATAACCGTGTTCCCACGAAATGTTTTAACTGCCATTCCAAGTGAACTTTTCTCTTCCTTCGTTAACTGCCTCACACACCTCACTTGTTCTTTTGGGCGAAGTGCTGCATTGGAAGAAGTGGTGAGTGACTCTTCTAAAATAAATTGTGTCAGTTTTAAGTGTGTAAATTATTTGGGAAACATGACCTTTAAAAATTTGCGGGTTAAGATAGTTTCAGTTGGTGATATTTATTGGTGTTAAGAATTTAGAGATGATTTAGTACCCAAATATAGGAGATGGAATGAAATGAGCTGCGGTTTGTTCAACACAAATTTTCACAATTTTTAACCTAAAACTTACGAAGTTCATTCTAACAGCAAAAACATTGTTTACAGGGTGCTGCTATGGTGTGGTGTAATTACGTGTAATTTTATATGTTTCTTTTTTTTGAGAATTTTTTACTTTGGACTTATTTGGCAATATATAAACATAATTTGGTTCAAATCATTGTAACCTTACTTATTTTGATTAGACTGTGGTCTCTAATTTTTTGGATGGTAATGCTTTAATAGTGTATCCTGGTAGAATTTAATTTACATTTAAATTAAGAACAATAATAATACTGAAATTTTTTTTTTTTTTTTTTTTTACAAATTTTCAAATGTGTATTTTCTGTATTTTATATTTAAGTTTAGAAACATCTACTAAAACCCCTTGACTACACAGCTGCTTTTATAATAGTTACTGTGAATAGCTATATTAATCATGTTCCACAAAGTAGTGATTAAATTGTTACAACTGCTTTTTCTTTATATGAATCAAAATGTGAATCTTTCTGAAAGGCTGTAAGAGTAAAAGGAATGTAGATATTTTGTTAGCATTTCTTGTTAAATTGTAAGTTGTTTTGGTTAGATTCTGCCAACGTGTGTAAGTTTTTCATATCCCTTCAGAGGTTTTCAGAGAATAGAGAACTTGAGAATGATTATGTTTATGTAATCAGGCACTTTTGTGATTTGATGAGGAAGGGAACCAGGTCAGACAGGTGTTTATATGGTAGAGAAAATGTAGTAAGAGAAGAATAGAAGTTTAAAGGCATGAAATGTAGATTTGAAAAAATCCATGGTAATTTTAAGTATTTATGCTTTACTCAAACCCCTTTCAAATGATGACAGATTCTGAACTAGTCAGGTTGTATTAACATGAGTTCCTCGTACTTTCCCTCTCCCCTTTGGTTTGTTATATTTTCTCTTCTAAACCAGGTGGATTGAAGAGCATGTTGATCCCTGTATTTAGAAACTAAGCTACCTTTTAAAGTTTCTGTTTGTGAGCTAAGAGTGTTCCTAAACATTTTAAAGAATTGCTGGAAGACATAGGGCATCTTTACTTTGCAAATTTTAAGTACAGAATTTATTTTGAGGACACTGACATCTTGACAATTTTTCTGTCAAGGTTTGACAAAGGAGTGTTGGAACATAGAAAGCCTACACATATTTGCAGAGAAGTAGATGTGTATTGTGCTTATTTCACAGCAGACATGTTCTAGTGATAATGAGCCTGATAGGTCTCATTCAAGAAAAGTATTTATTTTCATTTCTTTTGCTCTTTGAATTAGTTTTTAATTGAGCTGTTTATAATATTTAAAGTTATTTTTACAAATACTTGGTTATGTCTTGAAAAGGACAGAGGAAAAATATCTGTTTAAAGTTTTGCGTTAGTCACAGAAACCAGGTCGGGGATGTGTGGTGAAGTTGAGGGCTAAGGGGGTGACTCCTGCGTGGGGACTTGCTTGAAGACTGCATCTCCTAAATGTCATGTCAGCCTCAGGCGGTTTCCATTGTATCTTTTGTATGCTGGGTGGGGGTGGAGGGCCAGGGGAGTGTACAACGAATACCAGAAATACAGGAACAAATCCAGCCAAACCCAGTTGGACCTCTGGGACAGAGACATTTCATCTTTTGTTTTCTTGGGCACTCAGTGATAGTACACAATATGTGGTTGTCCTGAGATGGAAAAGTATATAAAGACATGATCTTTTAAGTACAGTTTGAAAAATTGAGGCGTAGTAAAGAAAAACGAGTTTGGGAGTTAGCATGGGATGAAAAGGTGATGAACTTTTGAGGGAGACAGCACCGTTATGGGCCAGGCAGTCGTGAAGTGTAAGAGCTCCAGGCAAGCTGCTTCAGTTTTTTTGAGCATGTTTCCTCATTGGTAAAATTGGGATATGAATTCCTTCCATTGCTTTATGACACGGATTAACTGCATGAAAAGTACCTGGATAGTGTGCAGTAATTATTACAGGCGATAATACATTGAGTAATAATTTTAAAAATGAACTTTTATAAGAATAGAATTTATTGAAAATTTGTGTGCACGCTTACCATGAAAGAACAGTTGTTGAGTTTTGTTTGAATTCTAATTTTTAAATTAGAATTTTTAAATTTTTAAATTCTAATTTTTAAAAATTATTTTTAAAATAATTTATTATAAATTATAAAATATTTTTTGTAATTTTAATTTTGTGAAATATTTTTGTTTTTCTTAAATATTGAAAGTTTCTTTTCTCACTTGAAAAATGTTCCACATGTAAGGCTTTTTACTGTGAGAATACTTTTTAGGAGCTGTGTTTGTTTAGGAATACATACAGATTATCATCTTTTTTAATAGCAATTCATGTCTTCGATGGTGATTATGTTGTTGTAGCAAGGGAAAAAGAGCATCTTCTTAGGAAGAAACATTCTTGATACTAATGTGTGTTTTTGAAACCCATGTCATAAAGTCACCTTGCTTGGTGGCTTTAGCATGTGAGTAAAGAGATACGTGTTTGTGAGTACCCTGACTTGGAGTTAACTGAGAGCCTGTGTTCACAAAGAGCAATTCCAGTATTCAGCCAGGTTTCTCTGTGGCTGCAAAAGTTTCCTGGTATTACTTAAGGCTTCTTGGAGCGAAGAATGTTTTCATTACACCCCATTATCTGTTGCTGAACCAAAGAGGTGATAATGAATGTGGAGATGAAAAAATACTGCCTTGAAGGTTAAAAGCCTTCCGGGCAGGCTCTCGCCTGTACCTTGGGAGGCCAAGGCAGGTGGATCACCTGAGGCCAGGAGTTTGAGATCAGCCTGGCCAACAGAGTGAAACTCTGTCTCTACTAAACATGCAAAAATTAGCCAGGCGTGGTGGTGGTTGCCTGTAATTCCAGCTACTCAGGAGCCTGAGGCAGGAGAATTACCTGAACTTGGGAGGCAGAGGTTGCAGTGAGCTGAGATTGTGCCACTGCACTCCAGCCCGGGTAACAGAGCAAGGCTCTGTACACACACACACACACACACACACACACACACACCAACACCACAATTCTAACAACAATTGTTCATTTTAATACATCAGCTATTTTATAAAAGATGTGTAATAGTACATGCATTTGAATTGTTTCAGTGAAATGCAAGGAGAATGTGGCTTGAACTCTGTATTCTAGTTTGCTGCTTGGTTTCTTTTCTAATTAACCATTTTGAGTTCAGCCCTGTAAGCAGAATCATGCAGTATGTTGTTACATGAACACAGCAGCCTTCATAGCACTGAGGTATTTTGTATGTGCATTTTGGTGTGTGTTGTGTATAGGGACGATGGTGGTAAATAACAATTTATAAAGAAAGAACTTTACATCTAGTTTTAGTATATTTGTAGCCTAATCTCAAGACCAGCAGGACAAGATAGTAATTAAAAAGGTGCTTGATAAAGTTGTTAGGAAGTTGATTATAGAGTGTAATGCAATAAAATAAATTGCGATTTGTCGAGTCAGTGGGTATATTTAAAGGTCAGCATTCTTGATTCAGAATCTAATTTCTCTGACTTGTTGGGTGATTACTTTGTAGAGAGGTGCTGTAACGCAAAGGAAGCCATACATTGAAGCCAAATTACAGATTGAGAGGTGGGGAACACACATTTTGGGGTATCTCAGCGATAAGAGGGAAAACAGTTCTTATTCTCTGGGATGGCTGTGTCAGTCCAGTGCAACTGTGCACTCTGCCTGGCGTCTTCGCCCATGAAAGGATGGGCTGTTTCACCTGCCAGCCTCCCCTACCAAACAGTTCTTACAGCTACAAAATAATAAACTGATGATACTTGAGAGAGCAAGCCAGCTGTGCAGCGCTCCCCACCCATCAAGCACATTCACTTCCCCTGCTTAAAAGACGGAAGAAGAAATGAAATGAAATCCACGAGTATTTTGTAAACCTTGCATATTAAAAGTATACTGTTCAGAAATAATAGCAATGGTTTTTATCTCTACCAGGATATTTGGAAGAAAACTTGTTACTATTTTACCTTAAAGACAGATTCTTATTTTAAAAAGTGTTTTAAGAGTTATTTTTATGTTTTAATTCTAATTGGATGATAATATTACCATGCAGTGTTTTGTGACTTGTGTGAGTCAGCTCTGATTGTTTAAATCTGCTTTCCTAGTACAGAACCAGTGTAAGTTTTATGGAATTCTTGCACCTGAGATAGAGGGCAGTGGATTTAGAATAAAGCTTACTTACTGTCATAACCATTGTTCCATATTGTATCCTTTTTTTTTTTTTTGAGACGGAGTTTCGCTCTTGTTACCCAGGCTGGAGTGCAATGGCGCGATCTCGGCTCACCGCAACCTCCGCCTCCTGGGCTCAGGCAATTCTCCTGCCTCAGCCTCCTGAGTAGCTGGGATTACAGGCTCGTGCCACCATGCCCAGCTAAGTTTTTGTATCTTTAGTAGAGACGGGGTTTCACCATGTTGACCAGGATGGTCTCGATCTCTCGACCTCGTGATCCACCCGCCTCCGCCTCCCAAAGTGCTGGGATTACAGGCTTGAGCCACCGCGCCCAGCTGTATCCTTTATACTGTTTGTTATACTAGCATTAGAAGCATAATTAGATCCAATGGACCTGGGGTTCAAAAATGAATACTAGAGTGAGGTAGAAAAAAAGGGATTTCGAAAGCATTTTCATAGTATGTGGAAAAAATTTTTTAAACAAACAAAAAAACAAAAGAAAGAAGGGATTGCCCTTTTATCCCATGTAAGCCGGGCGAGTCCCAGAAATGTCAGCCACTATTCAGCTCCGTAAGTCTGTATTGAGCACTTCTCATGTGCCAGGAACAATGTCTAATA